GCCCACCCCCTCGCTCTGCTCTCGGGGAGGGGGGGGTCCCTCCTCACTCACCCGGGGAAGCAGAGTGAGCTGGGACCAGGTTGCTTCCCGCGCTGCTGTCTGTGAGTGTGGAGAGCAGCCGGACCGCAGCCCGCGCCAGATTGGGGGGATGAGGCAGGGTGGGGAGAGGGCAGAGTGGGTTTGGGGAGTGGGTGGATTGTTGCTCCAGAATATCCTTCAGAAAGGAGGAGGGAATCAGGGCTTAGGAGTGTGATTTTTAGAAGCAAAGCTTTAGACACTCATTTAACACTATAGCTGCATTTCTGAAAATGTTTGGGCTAAGCGACAACGCGCTATGTGGGGTCAATTTTCCCATTAAAAATAATGGAAAAGGTAGGGCTTGCCTTTCAGGTGGGGGTGGCAAAGTCAATTTTTTGTTGGTGCTGGGTGGTCAACATCAATGTTAGATATCTAGCAACACAAGTCACTGGAGTTTGTTAAAACACAAAGATAAAGACATGAGTGAGCGAAGGAGCACTGTGACCACATGTATTCATCCACTCGTGTATTACCACTGTTTTCACCACTGCGCGAAGTAGTCGGCCACTTTATTTTTGTGTTATTTTGGGAATGGTCATGTTATTCAAAAAACGGTACCTAAAAAAATTGTGTTAAGCGGGCACGTGTTAAATGAGTAATTACTGTACACCATAAGGGGTTTTGTTTCTATTGGCGAGTCTTTGCTTTGTAATCAACCTTTTACACAGATTCCTAGCAAAAATATGTAAATACCATTCTCTAATAGGATACTAATAATTTCAAATACCATTTCTATATAGTCTCAGGGGCCCAGCCATATTAGTCTGTGTCTGCAAAAACAAGAGACTCCTGTGGCACTTTATAGACTAGCCCCAGGACTACACTATGGGATAAGTTCAAATTAAGACATGCAACTTCAGCTACATTAATTGTGATGCTTAAGTTGAAGTATCTTAATTTGAATTTTGGCACTGTCTACACAGCAGGAAGTCGAAGGGAGCACACTCACCCTACAGCTTCCCTTACTCCTCCTAGAAGCAGGACTACTGGCATCAACGGGAGTGCCCTCTCCGTTCGAATTAGCGGGTCTTCACTAGATCCACTAATTCGAACCCCAGAAGATGGACTGGGGCTGTTTCAATCTTATCTGTAGTGTAGACATGGCTTAACAGTTTTATTAGGGCATAAGCTTCTGTGGATAAAATCCACTCCAATTTATCTGATGAAGTGGGTCTCTAAGGTGCCACAGGACTCCTCCTAATTTCTAAATAGATAAGTAGTGGTTTCAAATGAGGCAGTATCTTCTACTTGACCAAATTGTGTTAGTGAAAGAGACAAGCTTCTGAGTTATGCACAGCTCTATTTCAGTTGCCTGTTAGTGTGGAGAGGGCGTAACATAGGACTATGGAAATTGATTCAACTATTGGTATTTTCCATTCAAACAGCTTTTGCATGCATCACTTCCCCAGCTCATGCTTTTTGCCAGTTGTATTGTTTGTGGTGAAATATTACATTGACTAGCAATCTATTATTCACAGCATTTCTTCTGATTATAGGATATTAAGTCCTATTCCAGAGAGCTTGCAACTTACAAGTCCACCTACTGTAGAGGTTTTGGTGAATAGTGAAATAATTCAAGTTAGTTCCGGAAAAGTATTTGTTACATGTTTTTCTAACTGGAAAATTAGGGTGAACTAGGGATGTTAAATTTAATGAACTAATCCATTGACTAGTTGATTAGTCAATAAGTGGGGAGCCACAGAAGGGTTAGAACATTTAAAAGGCTAAAGCACAGCAGGAGGCACCTAGCACGAACCAGGATGGCTGATTCCCCACAGGCTCTCAATACATTTAAAAGGCCAGTGCACAGCTGGGGGGACCCTGCGTGAGCTGGGAATCAGCTATCCGGGGGGCTCATGCTCTGTTGCCTTGCTGCACTTTAGCCTTTTAAATGTTCTAAGAGCGTCAGGGCTCTTAATACATTTAAAAAGCAGAGGCGCATCTGGGAATAGGTGTGAGCTGGGAATCAGCTGATTCCCAGCTTGTGCCCAGTCCTTGCTTCCTCCGTGACTCCCCTGCCCCCCGCGGAGATGGTGCTGAGATGAACCAGCTTTTAGGTCACTGGCTCCTGCTCTCCTCCCTTGCTGCCTCTATCAGAGGCAGCATGGGGCGAAGCAACTAGTCACTTACATCCCTAGGCTGTGTCTAGACTGGCCAGTTTTTCCGGAAAATCAGCTGCTTTTCCGGAAAAACTTGCCAGCTGTCTACCCTGGCCGCTTGAATTTCCACAAAAGCACTGACTTCCTACTGTAAGAAATCAGTGCTTTTTGCGGAAATACTATGCTGCTCTCGTTCGGGCAAAAGTCCCTTTTGCGCAGAAGGGCCAGTGTAGACAGCTGAGATTTGTTTTGCGCAAAAGTGCGTCTAGATTGGCCATGGATGCTTTTCCGCAAAAAGGGCTTTTGCGGAAAAGCGTCCGTGCCAGTCTAGACGCTCTTTTCCGAAAATGCTTTTAACGGAAAACTTTTCCGTTAAAAGCATTTGCGGAAAATCATGTCAGTCTAGACATAGCCCTAGTGTATGCTGGGCCAGTAAATGTATAGAAAGTGAAAGTCCTCCTGGTGTTAATAGTGAGAAAGGCAGATCTCTATTCACACAGTCCAATATATAAGCTAGGGATGTAAGCAACTAGACGAGTAGTTGACCACCCAATAAGCCTAGGCTTATCGGGTAGTCAAGTCAACTACTTGACTAATCACATTTCCCTCCCCCTTTGCTGCCTCTGTATCAAGGCAGCAAGGGCGGGGGCGGGGGAGGAGAGCAGGAGTTGGTGCTGGGGGGGAGCCAGCTTAAAAGGAGTGCAGGGGAGAGGGGGAGGCTGCCACGAAGCAGCCTCTGTTTGTGTGGGGCCTGAGTGGGGAGCTACCAGAATAGCCTCTGGAACAGCCTATGTTTGCGGCCATCTGCAGTGGTCCTTGACCCGGCATGAGCCAGGTTTGCTCAGTCCTGGCTCACAGTAGGTCCTGGACCACTGTGCCTTTGCATTTTAAATGTAGTAAGAGCCACCCACTATTACTACATTAAAAATGCAGAGCCACAGCAGGGAGAGCTCCTGGACCCAGCACGAGCTGGGACTGAGCCAGGCTTGCTTAGTCCCATCTTATGCTGGGTCTGAGACCAACCCACTGCAGCTCTGCAATTTAAATATAGTAGGAGCTAGGCTGTCTGTGTGCCCTTTCCTACTACGTTTGTACTATAGAGCTGCAGCGGGGTAGCTCCTGGATCTGATGTGAGCTGGCAAAGAGTGTCTTCTCTTATCGATGGAAATGTAGCCGTGTATAATATATCCTTTGGTATAGATGGTTGTGACTATTTTCTTTCACTATTTGATCTGAGGAAGTGGGTCTGGCCCATGAAAGCTCATCACCTAATAAACCATTTTGTTAGTCTTTAAAGTGCTACATAGTCCTGTTTTTTGTTTCTCTTATCGACTAATTGTGTATCAATACAAATTGTATTAACTACGGGATTAGCCAGTTACCCACCTTTTAACATCCTTAATACAAGCCCTTTGCTAAGAAAACCAAATATTTTCCCAGACATAGCAGAAAATGCTCATCTTTTGAACATTACGTTTACTGTATTAAGAATTAAGTGTATTATCATTTGCAAGGGCTCAACAAACCGCTGAATCTATTCACCTGTGGTGAGTAGATTTCAGCCGGACGCTCCGAGCGCCCCATTCACCAGCGCTTGGTGCAGGCGCAGTGCGGGGCTGGCAGTGGCTCTCGCTGGGGTTTGTCACGCCTTGATTGTTTGTGACCTTTATTAGACTGTCATGAGGCTAGCCTGTATGCAGTGTTCCTGTAGCTATATTGATCCCAAGATATTAGAGACACAACATGGATAAAGTTATTTTTTTATTGGACCAACTTTTGTTAGAAAAGTTTACATAGAATCATAGGGCTGGAAGAGACCTCAAGAAGTCATTGAGTCCAACCCCCTGCCTAAAAGCAGGACCAACCCCAACTAAATCACCCCAGCCAGGACTTTGTCAGGCTGGGATTTAAAAACCTCTAGGGATGGAGATTCCACCACCTCCCTCAGTAACCTATTCCAGTGCTTCTCCAGCTCCTGGTAAAATATCCAGCTTAGACCTCCCTCACTGCAACTTTAATGTTACAGCAGATATTACATTTATACACCAGAGGATGGAGGTTTAGACTTATCAGGAAGTATCTATATTACTGGGAGTAATTTCCTTAAAAAATACTTCATTGTAGAAAAAATGACCTCCATCATTCTATTTTTTTAACAGGACATTGACCAACAGAGTCTCCTGGTTTGAACAACAAGAGTTGAGTGAGTCCGAAAATATGTGGATGCTGATAATGAAGGGTGTCAGTCAACATTTAACACACACAAGCTGGAAAACAGTGCCAAGTTTGCCAGAATTTTTGGCACAGGTAACGTGTTTGAATATGTTCCTACATTGCCTTTTAGAAGTTCTCACTGAGGACAAATCACTCTTTGTTCTTCCTACAAATTTTGGCAGAATCTAAATTATGTCAACTGTTACTATACAGCCGCTCTCAGAGTTACGAACCAACACTTGGTCCGTAACTTGAAGTGTTCGTAACTCGGATCCCATAGAGTTACATGGCGACCGCGCTGTTTGTAAGTGCAGATGGTCATAGGTGGAGGTGGTCGTAACTCGGGGAGCGGCTGTATAGGATTTACAGTTGAGGCATGATATGTGAGGGGTTTTAAAGTGGAATTTATCTGTAGCTTTTACTTAGGTCTCCCATTTGTTTAAAATTCTAGATTACTGACCAATTCTAAATAGAAGCTTACTGATGGCTGGCTAAAAACCAAAAAAGGCCAAGGTTTTAGCTTTTGGTAGCACCTTCTAGAATAGAGCTGAGACATGGTAGAACAGTAGAAGAAAGCTTGTTTCTTGGATTGTTGCTTCCTGTGCTGCAGAAAGTGGAACTTTCAGAATTGAGTCCCAGGGTTGCCCAGTCCACTACCCATTACAAGCACAAGGTTCATACAAAAGGAGGATTCAGTGGAGAAGGCTAACTAAATATGCAGCAGCAACAGGATGTGTTCTTACAGTACCTAGCACGACAGGGCCTACACGGAGATGTCCCATCCATAGGAGTGTTCGGCATGGCTGCTCCAGCTCCCATGATTTGAGTATGCTGCAGCGGCCACCTCAACTATCCTATGGAGGAGCTGGGCATGGGGTGGTACCAGGGATCACCCTGCCCTGCACTCACAGCAGCAGTAGGAGCCAGAGTGGCCAGGCAGCCTGCTCCACGACTTCAATTGAAGAAACTGTAATGGTTTTGGAACAATACATTTTTGCTGTTTTATAGACTTCTGAAAATGAGAACCACCCATCAAAACCAGAAATCTTTAAGGTTGGAACGAACGATTTTCAATGGACACCTTTTCCATCTTTTTGCAAAGAAAAAGCTCTTAATAGAAAGGATCCAAACTTCTGTCACATATCAAAAACTAAAACAGAACATCTAATAGAAAGAAAGGACAAGGCAGACAAAAAACAGCTAAATATTGCTCCTGTAGTTGAGAATCTCTCTCTTATGGTTAATGATGATCTAGCTGAGAACCTAAGAATAAAACATAGCAGAAAATGTTCTTCAAAATTAAAAGAAAAAGAAAAGACTGAAATGTATGAAGGCACTCCATGTACAGATTCGACACTGAATTCTGTACCAGCATCTACTCCAAGTGTTGCAAAACATTTTTGCTTTCAACAGCTCTGTAAAGGGACTGTGCTCAGTGAAGAGAACAACAGAAGAGAAAATGAAAGCCAAGGTCAACATTCACTTGCAGAAATGCACCAACACAATATTTTATTAGGCAAGACCAGTTCTGTATCTGCAGAAATAAAGTCTCCTGTTGACATCCCCAAAATGGAAGGCCTTAAGGAAAAGGCTGAGGATCAGAGAGCGGGCACTGTAACTCTTGACAGTTGTCCAATGTGTCTAATTCAATTTACTGGAACGTAAGTCTTATTTTATTACTTTGGACTTTTTTTTACAGTATAGAAACATGACAGTTTGGTTGGGTAAACAAGCTGTGCAAATTGTGACCAAGGTTCTACTGTTAAAGTACCATCTTTTAAATGTAATTCAGTGTCTGGAGAATCCGTTTTAAATCCAAAACTAAAGTGGAATAAAGTCCACGTTTATTATATTGCTCTAAAAAGAAAGTAAATTTGAGCCCTACTTTGACTTTGTCTGTATATTCCAAATTGGCATACAGCTGGTCCCCGAGTTACGAACGCATCGATTTACGACTGTTCATAGTTACGACCATTTCCCATTAAGCGCATTACAAGCCGCTCCCTGAGTTACAAACGCGATCTGTGCTTACAATCAGCATGGCCGAATTTAAATGAATGGGGTCTGACTTACGAACAAATCGAGTTATGACCAAGTGTTTGGTAAGTAACTCGTTCGTAAGTCAGGGACCGGCTGTATTATTTTTTGGTCAAGCAGATGCATTTTTGGATCTGTATATTTATTATCCAGAATTGGAGCCCTTTGCTAGTTAAAGCCATCTCCATAGCCTTCAGATTCCTATCGGCTTTACCTATGAGATAGGTACACACTTGTGAAACTTTCACTGGTATTTTCCATCATCTCCCTGTTCTGCTGATTGACTCGGGAGTTACCTCTAAAGCCTAGTCTAGACTTAAAAATGTAGGTCAATATGACTTTACAGAGCTCTGGGGTGTGGAAAATCTTTGCAAACCTAGCATCCGCGGTAGATATTAGGTTGGTGGAAGAATAAATAATTAAAATAAAAAATAGCTTTCAAGAAGGCGAACTTTAGCAAATTCAGAGAGTTGGTAGGTAAGATCCCATGGGAAGCAAGTTTAAGAGGAAAAACAATTGAAGACAGTTGTTTTTCAAAGACATTATGGGCACAAGAGGACATTATTTTACTGAGTAGGAAAGATAGAAAGTATGGCAAGAGACGACCCTGGCTTAACCAGGAGATCTTGAAAGATCTAATATCTAAAAAGGAGTTTTATTTAAAAAAGTGGAAACCAGGTCAAATTACAAAGCATGAATATAAAGCAGGGATGGAGAACCTCTAGCCCCAGACTGGATTCAGACCTCTGTTTAATTTGATCTGGCCTGCAGCAAGTCTCATGTTGCAGGCCAGAAGTGCTGAGCCTTGGTGCCCCGCACAAGCACCAGCACCCTGAGCTCCTCCCATCACAGGCAGGACCAGATTAATGGCTTTAGTGCCTGTAGCCCAGGGTCCTTGAAAAAGATCCCTGGCCCTGCCTGGCTGGGGTGGAGAGAAACAGCTCTGTGCACTGTACCCTCTTACCCCTGCCAGTGCCAGGAAAAGCTCCATCTGCACACTGCCCTACATAGAATCATAAGACTGGAAGAGACCTCAGGAGGTCATAGAGTTCAACCCCCTGCCCAAAGCAGGACCAACCCCAACTAAATCAACCAACCTTGCTGCCAGGCTCCATCCCTGCAGCTCCCTGGACCAATGGGAGGTGTGTGTGTGTGGGGGGGGGAGGGAGTCAATGCCTGCAGGGTGAGGGCCACACTCAGCCACCTGCTTCCCTTCATCCCCCAACCAAAAGAGAAGTGCTTAAGGTGAGCACCCCAGCCCCTTCCCACACCTTACCTCCTCCCAGAACATTCACCTCAAACCTCTGCCCTGGCCCCGCTTCAGCTAAGTCTCTTAACTCCCTCCTAGACTCCATAACCCAACCCTGAACCCTGTGACACTCTAGCTCCCACCCAGATCCCACACACCAACCCCCTGTCCTAGACCTCCTCTTACACTCCATTGTATATGATAATTGATATACGAACCTATAGGAAAAAGGCACTCTGACATTAGTAAGATGAGAAAATGCAAATAAGAAAAGGGAAATGTCAAAGCTGTTCCTCACTCTGGCACTTTGAGTGCAGAAGGTGAGGGTGAGGGCCCACAAGAAACTTTAACACACCTTGCCACTAAAGGCTTCTGTTTAATAAACTCTTCAAGGTTACCACCCAAATGCAAAAACCCCTTTGGGAACTTAGGAAGACGCAAGTTGGGAATTTCTTCCTGTAGGGTATCCTCAAGCTCTTTAACCCTCCCTCTGGAGAGAGCTTAACCCCTACCCCTGTAAATTCCTTAATAGCTGATCTTGCAGTTTTAGGCATGTACACACAGAACCGCCTGCCTTCTAGGACACAGGAATTAGATCAGTCTTAAAAAGGTGATTTTAATAACAAAACAGACTACATACTTGTTAAAACATTACTTCATTGCTAGGTGTTACAGAGCAACTGAAAAATGGCAGATTAAAAGCACAGAGAATTGCTTCCTTAGGATTTAGTTTAAAAGTTACAGTGTACGGTGGGTGATGGGGATTCACATGGGTTTAAACACAGGTAAGTCCAACAAGCCCGAAAATAGCCTGATCTTGTCTGACTCAACATTCCCTGTTTACTCTCATATCTGTTGTTCAAAGTTTTAGTCCTTCCCAAGGCATGGATATCGCTAGACATTTCATGCCTTGTCCCTAGCTCACTCTAGGTCTTCCAGCTCTGCTCCAGTCATAGAAAGATTGCTACAGGAGTCTGTAACTGCTTCTAGTTCAAAAACCCACACTCCATTTTCATTGGCTCTCCTGGCTTCCTGACAACACTTCCTGCTTCTCTAGAACACAGTCTGTGGTTTTAACCCTAACAGACAATTTAGTCAATCGAATGGCTGGGATGTCCAGGAAAGGATAAGTACCCCTCCTATTCATTACAGAAAAAAATTCCCTACTGAAAATACATCAAACAAAACAGCATCAGTGTAACCTATTCTAAAAGTAGCATCCAGCCTAGGAGCGATTAAAAAATGTAGTCCTTAAAAGGTACCAAAATAATGGTCGCTGGTAACAATAAAAAAGGGTATGGTAATACAAAATTGCTAATACTTCTTATTCTACAAAAATGGTTTGATATTTTACTATATATGAGTGCAAAGGTACATTCTGTAGTATCTTTTACTAAGTTGGGATGTTTATAACTGTGCTAAATGAATCAGTAATCTATATTTATAAATATAAAAAAGTTCCCATGGCTTGTCACATCTGGACATATCAGAATTCTCAACTAGATAGTTTAAATAATACTGGGCCTAATCTTAAAATAAAAACCTGTCAACCTTACAAGTAATGACTAAAAATTCTTAAGTAATCAATAGAATATATAATCTAAAAATCAGGCAACATTAGTAATCAGTTTGGCCCAAGCCCTTAGCTACAGAGTAGCATATGTTACATAGATTGGGACTGTACATATCTGTTACAGGTTGTGGGCTTCTTGTTTTAATTTTATTTTTCTGGTTGATTGGCTTGTTTTTAATCTGTAAAAGATCTCTAAGGTCATGGATATAAATTGAGAGAGCTATTAATGACAATTATTTGTCAATGGTTTGGTGGGCCACATGTCTTTGTGAGTAAGCTAGTGTTCCAATCACAATAAACAGTCCCAAAGGCTGAATATGCGTGGATGCATATCCTTTCATGTTTAAAGGTGGCCTTTCCAGGTCAGGGCTTTGCATGCATGTATGTGGCAGCTGCCACTGTCTTGCTGTTCAGAGGGCAGGTCTATGCTATAGTCGAAAAGTTGATCTAAGCTATGCAATTTGATTTGTTAGTAGTGTAACTCTAAGATATCTTGACTTGATCTACTTACTGCAGGGTCCACTCTGTGCTTCCCTTACTTACCTCATTCTGGTGGGGTATTGGAGTCAATGTCCAAGCAATTGGTAGTCGATTTAGTAGGGCTTCACAAGAACTGCTATATTGACCTTTGATGGATTCATTGCTGCAGCAACGAGCCGCCCAGCAGGGGAGACAAGCCAACCATAGAACATTAGGGTTGGACGAGACCTTAGGAAGCCATATAGTCCACCCCTCTGCTCAAAGCAGGACCAGCTCCAAAATCATCCCAGATGGAGCTGTGTCAAACTGGGTCTTAAACATGATTTCAGTGTCCTTTATTGTTGAGCTGACTTTTCACTGGAACTAAATTAAAAAATACTTTTCTAAATCAGACACCTGCTAAAAAGAAATTAACTAAATAGCTTATTTATCATACCACTTAACAGGACTCATGCTGTCTCACCAGTTGCTGAAAAGTAACAGTTAGTAACATGCTTGTAGGCGTTCTGAACTAGGAATGTAAAATCCCTTTTAATTAGTTAACTGATTTAAGTTTAACCAGTACATCGATTAAACGGGTGAGCAAAAGGGGTGGCTTTAGTATGGCTGGGCTGGAGCCCCCCTGCTCCCAGTGCACCCCAGGCCTGCCACAGAAGAGGCTTGCTCTGGCCAGGCTGGCGTGGTCCTGCTCACAGCAGGCCCCACGGGGCTTTAGCTCCAGCTCATGTGATGAAGTGGGTTTTACTCACAGAAGCTCATGATACTATGTATTTTTGTTAGTCTCTAACATGCCAACAGGACCACTAGCATTTAAAACTCCTCATTTTGTTACTGATCTAGTTCAGGGGTTCTCAAACTTAAAGGCACCATGACTCCTTCTGACAAAAATTACCACACCACCTGAGGAGGGGAGACTGAAGCCTGAACCTGCCTAAACCCCACTGCTCTTGACAGGGCAGCCCCAAATCTGAAGCCCGGGCAGTAGGGCCTGTAACCTGAGCCCTGCCATCCAGGGCTGAAGCCTAAGGGCTTCAGCTTCAGCTCTGGGCAGTAGGACTTAGGCCAGTGGTGGGCAATAATTTTTGACCAGGGACAACTTCAGAAATTTTTGAAGTGGCCCTTGGCCACCCCAGAAGGGGTAGGGCCTCAGGCAGAAGGGGACGGAGCCAGGATGCTTCTGTGCTTCCCCACCCACAGACATTGAATGGTCTGTGGGTGGGGAAGCTCATGAAGTCTTTGCTCCCGCCCAGAGAGAACTGCCAGCCTTTACCTCTAGGTGCTCGTGCCCCTGGCGGTGGGAGGAGACTTTGCGTGCTCTCCCCGGCCCCCAGGCCTGCATGGGAGCACTGCATTTAGAGTCACCGGCCAGCTGAGCAGCAGCTGGCAACTGAGTCTAAGTGCTGAGCCCCTTTCTGCCCCTAGGCCAATCAGGGCTTGGGAGTGAGGGGAGCGCGCAAAGTCTCCTGCCCTGTCCCTGTCCGAGTTGTCAAATCCCTAGGCCCTGATTTGCCTGGAGGCAGGGTAGTAGCAGGACCTCTGCAGGGCGAGTCCCTTTTGCCCACCCCGGCTTAGGTTTTGGCTCTAGCTTCCCCAACAAATCTAAAGCAATCCTGGCAAGCCTATTAAAACAGGGGCATGGCCAGCTGTTTGAGAACTTGCTGCTGATCTAGCTAATTGGAAATTTCTGTAAGTCTCTGTGCAGTTCTCCTATTAGTGGGCTTTTGAATTTAAGTCATTTTAGAAACAGGTTCAGAGTGAAATGTTTTTATTTTAAATGTAGTTAAAAATGGTTGTAATATTGTATCCAATTGTCAGCCTTCCATTTTGTAGAACAGAACAACCTGACTCTTGCAAATTAAATACAGCATTTTTTCAGATTTCTAGAAAACAAACAAAAAACCCCCACAAGTTTGGGGTTTGGGAACATGTGAGTAAATGAAGGGAGTTGATTTGATTAGTAGTTCTGATAAAATTAATGAATTGTCTCCTAATTTGCAGATTGTCTCAGTTGGATATTGATAGCCATCTTGCTAAATGCTTGTCTGAAAGTGCTGATGATGTGATTTGGTAAATGAACAAGAATGAAGATCCAAAAAGTCAAATGCTAAAATATTTGACTCTACAAAATATTCCTCTCTACAAAAAAAGGAAAGTATATAAAGAAAAATGTGTCCTTATATGATGTGTATTGAACTTGTAAAATTAAAAAAAAGTGGAAGGTTAGAAATACCATCAGCTTCTGAACCTCTCTCAAATGTACACACCGTAGCTCTCGTCTGCAAAGAGAAGTCTGGATTCCTTGGAGTGCCACAGAATGCATCTCAAGAATGTACTATTGTGGCCTTCAAGTACATTATCTGTCCTTTTCCTGTGCATTTAAACTGTTATGCTTTTGAAAGGTGCAGCTGGAAGAGCTTGATACAAGAAATTTTCTTAACTGTGAATTTGCCTAATCCAAAGTGACTCCAGTATGCTTTGTATCAGGTTAACTCTTTGGGAAGTAAATTGCCTGGTGCTTTAAAAAAGTGCTGTAGAACTTAATGTCTGTTTAGGTTTTTAAATTTCAGTTCATGCTTTATTTGAAAAAAGTTTAAATAAAAATCTAGTAGGAATTTTGCTCTATTCTGTATTGTCTATATATGAATGTATATACTGGAAAAGGAAAATTGCTCCCTTCATATGGATGACATTCTTGGATTTGTATCACTGCTCTCTGATTCTTCCCTCCCTCATAAGTCAAGGTCTGCTTCATTAAAACCTCTTGTTTAAAATAACTAAGATACCAAGCCTCATATATATTATGCTCAATACATGCATAGATGTTCTCATAGTGTCTAAATATATGCTAAATGTAATTATGCTAGTAGAACAAAGCTCAAATATACTTGTTGCTGCCCCCAGACAAGTGGAAAATTGCTTTTACTGTTATGAAAATGTAAAAAGCACAGCTTCCTTGTTCAGCAAATCACAATGGCAGTTTTTATGCTCTCCTTTCAGATCAGATTTTTTGCTTTAAAATTGTAGATGATTTGTCATCAGTTTCCAACTGGTTACCAAGACAATTGAATATGTTGTACATTTTAAAATCTCATTACAGTACTGATTGCAGATCATTACATTCAGTAATTGCTTATTAACAGTTTGTGGGGAGTGAAAATACTGATGTGCAATAGATTTTTCATTTCCTTGGGGGACAGATGCCTGGTTGCACCATCATTCATGCATTATTATAGTATCTGGATTCACAACCAGAGTTTGAAATCATTTCTTAAGAGAATAAAAAACAAAAATGACTATTTTCTTTTAGTTTTTTTGACCTTATTTAGCTACACATTGTGCTGTGGAAGAATGTGTCTCAAATTAATACAGAAGATCAGTATTGGGACAAATAAATTTTCTGCCCTAGGACCAGACCCAATGACATAGACATTAGTTATGGTCCAAAAATGCAGAATATTACCACACAGTATCAAAATATAAATCTTTGTGATCAAAGCTCTCCTTTAACAAAAATCTAACTATCAGTCACTTTTCAACATGGTGATAAATAATAAGTCTATTGTTTTTTTCATTAAAGTCTTTAATAGATGTGCAAGAATATAAATGATCTTAGCTGTTATGGATTAGTATACCATCTTCTGCACAATTAAAACTGGCCAGCAAAGATCTTAACTAATTAATTATACAAAACTACAAGAAACATATTTACTGTTTTACAATCATTAAATTAGCTAGAATTTTCATTTACTATTTCAAATAAGACAACTATATATTATAACCAGATCCATTTGTAATATATTAGGATTTTTTTTCAAATCACACATTTAATTACATCCTTCATTTTCTTTAATTTATAAAACAAGTACTTTATATAAAAAATTTCCCCCTTCATCATGAACAGAACATTATTCATACACTTGCACGTGAGCAACCAAACTTATAACCAGCAAACTATTTGGCAACACAGAAACATTGTAAATGCCTTGAATTGTAAATAAATCAAGGATTTTTTAAAACATTTGTTGAGTAAATGTGTCTTTCTGGTCCCCCCCCCTCCCTCACACCCAACAAAATGTTCCAATGTCTCAGAAATTTGAGGTAATAAAACCTCCATGTTTGCACTTCTAAGCCCCTTGCCAAGATCCATTTAAGGGCAGCTCTGCCATATGTCCATGCAAGAGCTGCCATAGTTACTGATTTAAGTAATGATCAGTTGTAAAACCAAGAGCACTGATTAAATACTGAAACACAGACAATGTTCAGGGTACGCTAAATTGCCAAGGAGGGAAAAAAGGGGGAATTAAAACAAAGTTCATATTACATTTAAAAAGTAAATAACACATTTACTAGATACCAAATTATCTAAACTCCAGGCATTTGAGGCAAGCATTTTTTCTGATTAAATAATTTAGTGCTGGTTAGAACACATCTTGCTTTATATAAAAAGCGACAATCCAACAAAAAGAAACTCAAAACTCAAATGTGGATGGGATTTATAAAAGCTGAATTACCACAGGTTTGCATATTTGTGGCCAACGAGGGGATACAAAATGTAGTTTATTAACCTACGGTTAATGGAAAAATTTAAACACAATGTTTTGGCAGTCTCATCCTAGCACCTCATGACTTGGATGTGAATCCGAAAGATGTCATGTTCAGCACCTAATGCAATGCTGTACCCTGAGAAACCTATATGTTAATGTAAAGAAAGTGAAAAATGTTGCAATTTATCCTGTGTTTTACACCAAATTAGGTGAGATGTCATGGCACAGGGTTTCTTGGTTTTTTAATTCCCACATCAATTTTCCCCCAGAACTACAAGCCACATAATGTAGTTAAACAAAAACCTAGCACAAAGAAATACTGCCTTTATTGTATTCTGCAATGAGACAGGTAAATCTTTACGAGCATCTAAAGGTTTAGATTGCAGTGCACACTTAGTCATCAAATATAGTGACAGGAGTTTTTCCACAACTGACAAATTCTTAACCTTTGTGATATATAACATCCTCTTTTTTTCCAGTTTCCAAGAGACGGGACTGGATATCTAGCTCCTTACCCAAATCATATCTTCATTTTTTCATTCATTGAAAAAGTTACTGCTTTGAAGCAAGCCATTTTTATCAAAGCATTCCGTTCTCCTATGTAGAACAATTAAGTAGTAATATACACTGAGTATTTCTAAGCAGACAGGTTATTAGTAGGAGGTGTGCTTTATCAGGTAAATGTAGCATGTTTATGGATATTCTAGATTCACTATTTAAACTTTAAGGCTAAGATCCATTACACTTTTGTTGTTTTATTTCTGAATATCGTATTATTGATAAAAATACTTTTCAAAAATCTAAAGCACAACACAACATCATTGTAGGCACTGCTTACGTATTTTCAGAAATCCACTCTGTGCAAATTTAGGCTCTTTTAAACCTTTTTATTTTGGTAGATTTTTGAGATTGAAAGCAATCCAGATTTTTTTAATTTGATACCGAGAGTTCTAATTTGGAATTGGTATTGCTGTGTCACTCTACACCTCTATAAAGATGTACATCAGTATTAGAGTGCAGATTTTATTTATATGTTCCTTATTTAATGTTAACAAGTATAACTTACCGGAGGGTCAAGAATGTTGAAAATATGTAATAAGTCTTCAATGCAGTTTATCCATGTAGGCACTTAAAACCTGTACCCAAATTTATGTTTTGATTTCTAATAAAACACAACTCCTTTTATATATCGTATCTGAGACATTTAGACAGGTACCACTTGTGAAAAAGGCATAAAAATAAGCTTCAACACCACTGTAACATTTTATTCTTCAGAATGTTACACTCTAATATTCTTCACTTAGTAGCTCATTACATCAAATGTTTGTGGAAAATATGTAGCTTTCAAAGTTGCTTGGAACTGCTCTTTTCCAGAGGATGCAATGAACTCTTTGATCCTTCATGGGACAGGCACAAATGCAAAAATTCCTTCATTAACGAAGCCAGTTATGTCAGTGCCCAAAACTTTTAAAAACCAATATTTAGAGGAAGACACCCACCAAAATCATATTCTCATCTTTGATTTTCAGCAGCAATATTTTTATCATCATTGATCTCCATCCAAAACCTTACAGTTCACCAGCCTTGCATGCATATACTGTAGTTAAGGATTAAATTTAAAGTTCATTCACATTATTTGTCCACAATGGAGATGTCATTCCTTCATACTGTTTCCTCTGTTGACATCAACAATGGATTAATGTATTCAAATCCTTCAAATTCTGACTGATCTATTCTTTTTATTACATCTCTGAAAAATAAGGAGAAATATTTTTTTAGGTTACTGCTTATTACTCTCAATTGTGTTGCAAAACATTTTGTTCAAGAGATTCCTCTCTGTACAGTATTATAATATGCACTTTCTATAAAAATGCTAATTGTTAGTCACACACAACCAATAATAAGAATAGGAATAAATAACAAAATTTGAGTACACAAATACTCAGTATCTCCAGCAGCATTGCTGGAGATCATGAGATGAGTATAACAAAGGATTTGTTTCAGTCCCTGTACAAAGTAATATACTCATTTATGTGCATTACAGAGGAATATTAGATGTTGAAAATTTGGAGAACTGGGATGGCACAGCAATTTACAGAGAAAGAAATGCACAAGGCATAGAGGTGGTAATGGCTCAGGGAAAGTAACACAATAAGTTCTTAGATTTCAGAGAGGATACTATGGACCTGTGGCAACGCAAAGCTCAGACAGAATTTAAACTGAACATTGCGCAGAGCCATTGGAAGGATTTAGAAATTGAGGCATAGAGCAAACTGACTTGCCAAGGATGCACTGAGTGGCAGGTACAGTATTTAACTGTGATTTTCTAGCCGGTTCCTGACAGAGTCATCTTAACTGTTCACAAATAACATGCTTGAGTTTTCGTTCACATAGCAGCTTTATTGCCATATGATTGACCCTTCTTGCTCCCTGATGCCTAACTGTGGTTTTATTTGTGCATTCTGAGAAAATCTGAGCAACTGTCCTATAGTGCTTCAGCAGAAGCATAATGTGACTGAAGTTCAGTCACAGAGCAGAAGCAGCAAAGCCAAACACTCAATTAATCTTCTGCACTGACAACAAAAAGAACTGTTCGGGGTACTTTCTACACCAACAAACTGCAGCGTACTTATCCTATTACAGGAGAAGACAGCCAGGTGTGCCAGCTTAGTCTGTTAGCCGTCACAGCTACTAACTTCTTGCCATGTCGTATGCAGACACAATCCATCGTTTATAGTTATCCCCGCCACTAACTACGTACACACACTTAAAAGTTGTGTGGTCAGGGCCAGGTGTCCCGATTTTATTTAAAGCACAAACCATTACTACCTCTCTCACAGTCCTTACTTAGCTAAATCCGCTTTTAAAAAAGGGTCTAGTTCCTGTAGCCTACTGCATGAATTTACATATAAGCACCATTATCTTACTGGGAATTTCCTGGGTAAATCCTCACAAATGGATAGAATGGGTGGTGTCCTACAGCTTGTCAAATGTTAACTTGAAAGTAACCCTTTCTTTAATTCTGTAAAACCCTATTAAAACAATTAGGATGCCATTCAATAGATTTTGTAGGTGTCTTTCCTCCTCCCCTGTAAAAAACTTGTAATTTTTAGTCGTCTAATGTAGAAAGTCTGATAAACTGTTATGTGTTTTGCATCTGAAGCCAAAAAATTAGTATAGGAGTAAAGAGATAGGGAAGAAAAAGAGATCAGAAAGGAAAAAGATTGAAGCATTGTTTGGAGGCAGTTTGAACATTTCAGCACAAAGATACCTAGTTGTCAGTTTAGAGCAGTGCTTCTCAACCTGTGGTCAGCATGCAGCCAATTAGCATACTGCTGTAGACAGCTGTGTGCTAAAAGTCACCAGGCACAACAAGGTCTGGGACCTGGATGCCTGGGCCCATGGATCCACTCCTGGACCCCCCCACAGGGGTCTCTCATCAAGGCACTGGACAAAATGGTCTGTGGGGCCACTGTGTTTCTCAACCTGCAGCCCACAATGAAGAAGTTACTCACTGTTGGTGCATCCTCATGTTGGTAATCAGATTTTTCTTAGCAGTGCCTGGTTGTGTTGTGCCTGTGCAGTAGCCACCTCTTGGTGCTATTTGTGTCCATTGACTGCATTCCTTTTTCACTGCGGAATCAAGGGTGCAGATTCCAAAGCAGAGGGGAGTAGGGAGAGAACTGGAGCACCCACAGAGACACACATCTCGAAGATCCATCCTTTCTACACAAGGTGAGTAGCTTCTTTGAGAGCT